GCCAGAAATGAAAAACTAGTACAAACTTCATATTTAATAGGTTTGCATCATGAGGTTATAAATATTTTCTCCTTAAACTTCAGCCCTTCACTGTTAAGCTCTTACTGCATCTGCAATTGATATGGAGAACCTTGTCTCAGCACTGTTTTTTGAGGTCTGTTCTTACCTCACTGATTTGCATTGCTGTCTCAGGTTTCAAGTTTCTGTGTATGTATGGGTATCTCTATTACACTTTGTTTACATGTGTGCCGCTTTAATAGCTTTATTGTTAATTACTGTTGCTTTATAATAAGTGTTAATACTTGATAGAACCTAAATAGTTCTATGAAGTATCCTAGTTCATGTATCTTTGTTATTTCAGTAGTACTATGTTATCACTAGTCTTGATTCTTGAGACTAGTTTTACTGTTATTAATTCACTAATATGATTGTTATATTTTCATTCATCTCTATCATGTTATTTTGGTGTGTGTTTTACTTATTCTTTTCTGTTTCTTGTTTTGTCTTATCTATTGTTTCTTCTTTTGGACTTAATTTTTTTTTCAGAGACTTCTTCCCACTATTAATTTGGAAATATTAAAATTTTGACTCCTTTTAGTGCTACCCTAGAAATTTTAATGTGCATCTTTACCTTACTCTAAAATGAATCAGTATCTTTACTCTGTTTTTCAACACTGCAAAGACCTCAGGACATTACAGCCCTGCCACAGCCTTCCCCCAGCCTTACATTCCTCTGTTGTCCAGCATTTTAGCTCTGTCCAATTATTTTTTAACACCACAAATCAGACATTATTATTTTTGATACCTAATAGTTGCTTACATTTAGGCTATCTCACTTGTAATTCCACACATTGGTTCTAGTTCTGATTTCTGGAACAAAACTCAGTGGTTCCACTTAAACTTCTACTTTAAAGTCCGTGGTATTTGGGCACAAAGCTAACTTTCATCTGTCCTCTTCTCTTCAACACAGTTTCTTGGTCACAATGGATCACCTCAACCTTCAGATTCTTGAATAGTACTCTGTTATCACCAGTCTTGATTCTTGAGACCACTGATTATAATAAAAGTTTCTCATCTGTTGACAAAGTAATTATTGTGATAATCACAGTTCTGGGAATGTAAACAATCAGGGCATGACTGATCAGTAGACATTAGACTCTTCTTCAAGCTTCAGTGAAGGGTGAGCTGCAGAAAGTAAGTGATCTTTAGAAGCACAAGGAAACTGAGGCCCACGTGTGCAGTGTAGTGACTCAGTTAATAACTGCAGGAAGCATGGGAATAATTTTACATTACTATTTTAAGGTATAAAAATCTTTGCAAAATGAAATAGGTACGGTATGATTTT